GCTGAAAGTATAAAAGCGCTAGCTTACCTCTCGTTTCGTAGTTTGCCTCGCGCTCACTCAAGCTCGTTGCTTAAAGCATAAAAGCGCTAGCTTACCTCTCGTTTCGTAGTTTGCCTCGCGCTCACTCAAGCTCGTTGCTGAAAGTATAAAAGCGCTAGCTTACCTCTCGTTTCGTAGTTTGCCTCGCGCTCACTCAAGCTCGTTGCTGAAAGTATAAAAGCGCTAGCTTACCTCTCGTTTCGTAGTTTGCCTCGCGCTCACTCAAGCTCGTTGCTGAAAGTATAAAAGCGCTAGCTTACCTCTCGTTTCGTAGTTTGCCTCGCGCTCACTCAAGCTCGTTGCTGAAAGTATAAAAGCGCTAGCTTACCTCTCGTTTCGTAGTTTGCCTCGCGCTCACTCAAGCTCGTTGCTGAAAGTATAAAAGCGCTAGCTTACCTCTCGTTTCGTAGTTTGCCTCGCGCTCACTCAAGCTCGTTGCTGAAAGTATAAAAGCGCTAGCTTACCTCTCGTTTCGTAGTTTGCCTCGCGCTCACTCAAGCTCGTTGCTGAAAGTATAAAAGCGCTAGCTTACCTCTCGTTTCGTAGTTTGCCTCGCGCTCACTCAAGCTCGTTGCTGAAAGTATAAAAGCGCTAGCTTACCTCTCGTTTCGTAGTTTGCCTCGCCCTCACTCAAGCTCGTTGCTGAAAGTATAAAAGCGCTAGCTTACCTCTCGTTTCGTAGTTTGCCTCGCGCTCACTCAAGCTCGTTGCTGAAAGTATAAAAGCGCTAGCTTACCTCTCGTTTCGTAGTTTGCCTCGTGCTCACTCAAGCTCGTTGCTGAAAGTATAAAAGCGCTAGCTTACCTCTCGTTTCGTAGTTTGCCTCGCCCTCACTCAAGCTCGTTGCTGAAAGTATAAAAGCGCTAGCTTACCTCTCGTTTCGTAGTTTGCCTCGCGCTCACTCAAGCTCGTTGCTGAAAGTATAAAAGCGCTAGCTTACCTCTCGTTTCGTAGTTTGCCTCGCGCTCACTCAAGCTCGTTGCTGAAAGTATAAAAGCGCTAGCTTACCTCTCGTTTCGTAGTTTGCCTCGCGCTCACTCAAGCTCGTTGCTGAAAGTATAAAAGCGCTAGCTTACCTCTCGTTTCGTAGTTTGCCTCGCGCTCACTCAAGCTCGTTGCTGAAAGTATAAAAGCGCTAGCTTACCTCTCGTTTCGTAGTTTGCCTCGCGCTCACTCAAGCTCGTTGCTGAAAGTATAAAAGCGCTAGCTTACCTCTCGTTTCGTAGTTTGCCTCGCGCTCACTCAAGCTCGTTGCTGAAAGTATAAAAGCGCTAGCTTACCTCTCGTTTCGTAGTTTGCCTCGCGCTCACTCAAGCTCGTTGCTTAAAGCATAAAAGCGCTAGCTTACCTCTCGTTTCGTAGTTTGCCTCGCGCTCACTCAAGCTCGTTGCTGAAAGTATAAAAGCGCTAGCTTACCTCTCGTTTCGTAGTTTGCCTCGCGCTCACTCAAGCTCGTTGCTGAAAGTATAAAAGCGCTAGCTTACCTCTCGTTTCGTAGTTTGCCTCGCGCTCACTCAAGCTCGTTGCTGAAAGTATAAAAGCGCTAGCTTACCTCTCGTTTCGTAGTTTGCCTCGCGCTCACTCAAGCTCGTTGCTGAAAGTATAAAAGCGCTAGCTTACCTCTCGTTTCGTAGTTTGCCTCGCGCTCACTCAAGCTCGTTGCTTAAAGCATAAAAGCGCTAGCTTACCTCTCGTTTCGTAGTTTGCCTCGCGCTCACTCAAGCTCGTTGCTGAAAGTATAAAAGCGCTAGCTTACCTCTCGTTTCGTAGTTTGCCCCGCCCTCACTCAAGCTCGTTGCTGAAAGTATAAAAGCGCTAGCTTACCTCTCGTTTCGTAGTTTGCCTCGCGCTCACTCAAGCTCGTTGCTGAAAGTATAAAAGCGCTAGCTTACCTCTCGTTTCGTAGTTTGCCTCGCGCTCACTCAAGCTCGTTGCTGAAAGTATAAAAGCGCTAGCTTACCTCTCGTTTCGTAGTTTGCCTCGCGCTCACTCAAGCTCGTTGCTGAAAGTATAAAAGCGCTAGCTTACCTCTCGTTTCGTAGTTTGCCTCGCCCTCACTCAAGCTCGTTGCTGAAAGTATAAAAGCGCTAGCTTACCTCTCGTTTCGTAGTTTGCCTCGCGCTCACTCAAGCTCGTTGCTGAAAGTATAAAAGCGCTAGCTTACCTCTCGTTTCGTAGTTTGCCTCGCGCTCACTCAAGCTCGTTGCTGAAAGTATAAAAGCGCTAGCTTACCTCTCGTTTCGTAGTTTGCCTCGCGCTCACTCAAGCTCGTTGCTGAAAGTATAAAAGCGCTAGCTTACCTCTCGTTTCGTAGTTTGCCTCGCGCTCACTCAAGCTCGTTGCTGAAAGTATAAAAGCGCTAGCTTACCTCTCGTTTCGTAGTTTGCCTCGCGCTCACTCAAGCTCGTTGCTGAAAGTATAAAAGCGCTAGCTTACCTCTCGTTTCGTAGTTTGCCTCGCGCTCACTCAAGCTCGTTGCTGAAAGTATAAAAGCGCTAGCTTACCTCTCGTTTCGTAGTTTGCCTCGCCCTCACTCAAGCTCGTTGCTGAAAGTATAAAAGCGCTAGCTTACCTCTCGTTTCGTAGTTTGCCTCGCGCTCACTCAAGCTCGTTGCTGAAAGTATAAAAGCGCTAGCTTACCTCTCGTTTCGTAGTTTGCCTCGCGCTCACTCAAGCTCGTTGCTGAAAGTATAAAAGCGCTAGCTTACCTCTCGTTTCGTAGTTTGCCTCGCGCTCCCTCAAGCTCGTTGCTGAAAGTATAAAAGCGCTAGCTTACCTCTCGTTTCGTAGTTTGCCTCGCGCTCACTCAAGCTCGTTGCTGAAAGTATAAAAGCGCTAGCTTACCTCTCGTTTCGTAGTTTGCCTCGCGCTCACTCAAGCTCGTTGCTGAAAGTATAAAAGCGCTAGCTTACCTCTCGTTTCGTAGTTTGCCTCGCGCTCACTCAAGCTCGTTGCTTAAAGCATAAAAGCGCTAGCTTACCTCTCGTTTCGTAGTTTGCCTCGCGCTCACTCAAGCTCGTTGCTGAAAGTATAAAAGCGCTAGCTTACCTCTCGTTTCGTAGTTTGCCTCGCCCTCACTCAAGCTCGTTGCTGAAAGTATAAAAGCGCTAGCTTACCTCTCGTTTCGTAGTTTGCCTCGCGCTCACTCAAGCTCGTTGCTGAAAGTATAAAAGCGCTAGCTTACCTCTCGTTTCGTAGTTTGCCTCGCGCTCACTCAAGCTCGTTGCTGAAATTATAAAAGCGCTAGCTTACCTCTCGTTTCGTAGTTTGCCTCGCGCTCACTCAAGCTCGTTGCTGAAAGTATAAAAGCGCTAGCTTACCTCTCGTTTCGTAGTTTGCCTCGCGCTCACTCAAGCTCGTTGCTGAAAGTATAAAAGCGCTAGCTTACCTCTCGTTTCGTAGTTTGCCTCGCGCTCACTCAAGCTCGTTGCTGAAAGTATAAAAGCGCTAGCTTACCTCTCGTTTCGTAGTTTGCCTCGCGCTCACTCAAGCTCGTTGCTGAAAGTATAAAAGCGCTAGCTTACCTCTCGTTTCGTAGTTTGCCTCGCGCTCACTCAAGCTCGTTGCTGAAAGTATAAAAGCGCTAGCTTACCTCTCGTTTCGTAGTTTGCCTCGCGCTCACTCAAGCTCGTTGCTGAAAGTATAAAAGCGCTAGCTTACCTCTCGTTTCGTAGTTTGCCTCGCGCTCACTCAAGCTCGTTGCTGAAAGTATAAAAGCGCTAGCTTACCTCTCGTTTCGTAGTTTGCCTCGCGCTCACTCAAGCTCGTTGCTGAAAGTATAAAAGCGCTAGCTTACCTCTCGTTTCGTAGTTTGCCTCGCGCTCACTCAAGCTCGTTGCTGAAAGTATAAAAGCGCTAGCTTACCTCTCGTTTCGTAGTTTGCCTCGCGCTCCCTCAAGCTCGTTGCTGAAAGTATAAAAGCGCTAGCTTACCTCTCGTTTCGTAGTTTGCCTCGCGCTCACTCAAGCTCGTTGCTGAAAGTATAAAAGCGCTAGCTTACCTCTCGTTTTGTAGTTTGCCTCGCGCTCACTCAAGCTCGTTGCTGAAAGTATAAAAGCGCTAGCTTACCTCTCGTTTCGTAGTTTGCCTCGCGCTCACTCAAGCTCGTTGCTGAAAGTATAAAAGCGCTAGCTTACCTCTCGTTTCGTAGTTTGCCTCGCGCTCACTCAAGCTCGTTGCTGAAAGTATAAAAGTGCTACATCACAAAAATCCTGCGTCCAGAAAACCTTTGGAAAGAGTTGCTTTAAAGCTTTGTTGTATGATTTATAAACGTCTTGTTTGGTACGATATTTTGAGAAAGTATATACCTTCTTCTGGATGCTTTGTCGAACGCTGTTCGCATGCTTCTGCGATGCTTGTGTGTTCAAACCTCTCAGGTGAAAACCTTCGGCAGAAGTTTGGTTGGAGTTTCCGCAGAGCAATTTCGGAGATTGGATCTCATTGCATTGTACTCTTCAAGGACATCCGGTTTAGTTATAATGAAGCTGGATTGGAGACTTGCAATGGTTAACATGTTGTTTAACAAGATGTTTAGTTGCCTCATCCTAGCATCCAAAATGACCATTACTAAAGCGTTGGTAAATGGGTTTTATTCTCAATAAAAAAGGCACATACAAGAGCATCCTACACCCCACCCTCTCTAGTCAAAGACCCCCGCCTCTTAGGGTGATCTGCATTAACCTGCTTCTCATGCTCCCGTACACTATGCCTCCCACTACACCCTATGTCTCGTGCTCTAGGCCGAGCATGCTCGCCCCTACACCTAGCCCCCATGATCCATGCCTTGGCTGCGACCCCACTTCCTGCCTCTCTTCCTGCATCTCCCATCCCTCCTTCACTAATTGTGGTACTATTGCCCTGCCCGTGCGTCCACTGCTTCCTCGCATGTCCAGCCCTGTCATGCGTCTGCTGCTCCGCCTTAGACATCCTCCAGTCAAGCCTTTACTGCTGTTTGCTTTGTCCTATCCTGTCATGCCTATACTGCTGCGGCCCTTGCACCACTCCCCTCCGTAATGCTGTCCCCCTTTCTCTATCCACACGTGCCTTCCCTGATGCCCCCCTTGCTGTCTCCACCAATGCCTCTCCTCGCACGTATGTGATGCCTCTCCTGCTGTCCCCTTTTGTAAACTCCACGCATGCCTCATATGCAGCCCCCCTTGTCTCGTCACACCATCATTTGGCCCTCTTGCCTCCCCTTCTTTTGCCATTTTCGTGCCTTTTGCCCTTCCTCCGCTCCTGGCCCCCCTGCTTCTCATCCTCATCCTCATCCTCTTCCTCCTCTTTCTCCTCTTCCTCCTCTTCCTCCTCTTCCACTTCCCTCCAACCTCCCTTGCCTCTGCCTCTCTTGTGTTTTCTACCCTTCCTCCGCGACTGCCCCCCCTGTTTCTCATCCTCCTGCTCCTCCTCTTCCTCATCTTCCTCCACTTCCTCTTCCCTCCTGCTTCCCTGCCCTCTGCCTCTCTTGTGCTTCCTGCCCTTCCTCCGCTCCTGCCCCCCCTGTTTCTTATCCCCCAGCTCCTCTTCCTTCTCCTCTTCCTCGTCCGCTTCCCTCCTGCCTCCCCTGGTTTTCCCTCCCTTGTGCCTTCTGCCCTTCCTAAGCTCTTGCCCCCCCCGTTTCTCATCCTCTTCCTCATCCCTCCTGCCTGCCCTAGGTCTCTTGTGCCTTTTCCTCCTCCTCTGCTCCTGCCCCCACTGTTCCTCGTCCTCCTCCTCCTCCTCCTCCTCCTCCTCCTCCTCCTCGTCATCCTCCTCCTCCTCCTCCTCCTCCTCCTCCTCATCCTCCTCTTCCTTATCCTCCTCCATGTCCTCCGAGTCGTACACCTCCTTTTCATCCTCCTTCAGGTCCTTCGTTTCGGCATCAAGCTCAGCCTTCCCCCGGAAGGCCTCAAATCCTGACTCGTGAACATACAGCCCACGGTCGCCCCACTTGAAGCCCTTCACGTCTGTGTTGTACACGGGGGTGTGGCGTGTGAAGTGGTCCTTGATAATCCACCGCACATTACGGTGCAAACCCCCCATCCATTCACTGTTCTTCCGGTGGGAGTTGGAGACGTTCCAGTCAGTCCTCTTAACCTTTGATAGGCCCTGGTCAATCTGAAAAGGCATAGCACAGTATGGGATGGAGGAAAAACACCAACTTCAGTGGACACTCGCGTGCAGAGTTTAGAGGCTGCGCTAAATGCCCCACATACCATGCCGAGGGACTATAAAACAGCATGCCAAGCTAGAGCATACCATGGGTTGAGCAATAATTGCGTACCACCATGATTGACCAGGCAATGTGGTATGCTTTGACGCACACCCGGCGCCCGACACAGAAATTCCGAAATGCTTCCCGGACCGCATCTACAAACCGGCCGTTGGCAAACGGGAGCCCGTCTCTGTTGTTTCCCCACGAGCTGACCCGCTATTTCCCTCCTGCGCGCATGTATGAGAATGCGGGGAAGCATGAGACATCCGTGATCATGCATGACTCATGGTTTAGGGTTGTCCAAAGGGTATGGATGAACATCGAGGGCGGGGGGGAATGAATGGCGAGAGGGCGGGAGAGTAGGGGTGGGCGGGAGATAGGGGGAGGGCGGGAGAGAAGGGGAGGGCGGGAGAGAAAGGGAGGGCGGTAGAGGAAGGGAGGGCGGGAGAGAAGGGGGTGGCGGGAGAGAAGAGGAGGGCGGGAGTTAAACGGGGGGCGGGAGAAGGGGAGTGTGGGAGAAGAACCAACGGATGGCTGTCATGCGGATGTGTTTGCACATGCGCTACAAGCTTGGGCGAGGAGAGCAGGTATGTAGTCGCGTGCCAAAGTGGGGATGCATTGGGGGTACGTGCTTCATCAGCGTGGGGCATGCACGAGGGGTGCATGAGCAGACATGTCAATAGGGGATGGAAAACAGTCACGCAAGTACTCACTTGGTTGGTATTTTTTCCACATCTTCCGCTTCTTCTTGGTGCCCATCCACAGTTTGGCTGCACGCAGGCCTTCCACCTTGTTGCCGAAAGTGACGAGCACTCTGCGCTTGAGGTGGAAGCCACGTTCGTTCTTCCATGACGTCCAGCGCGTTTAAAAGCGCCTATGATGTTTTTGTCTTCCATAGCCTCTCGCAGCTGCATCATGTTGATGATGTGCGTCTCGCTGATAACCTCATACAACACCTGCACGCGCTGTTCGAGCGTTGGGTAGAAGTCTATGGCATGGTCTGGCGCCTCGAGGCACATCCGGTCCCGCCCCTCTGCGAAATGAACCCACGACAGCCGGATGGATAGGAAAAAAGGATATGTGGGTGACTCCCAAAGAAGGGCGGAAACCAGAGGTCGAGAGAGTGGGATTTGGGTAACACGTGCCGCAGGCCACCCACACCACCACCAGCACCATGAACAGGGGCTCTGGTTGAGGTAGGGGAGAGCAGGGAGATAGAGGGGGGAGAGAGGGGATGAACTAGTCTGAGTGAAATCATATGGGAGAGGGAGCAGAGTGTGAGAGCACCGTACGGACTGCGTAAGGGGTCATGACAGAGAGTGTTGCTGCTATCTCTGCGCCGCATGCCACCCACACCAGACCAGCAGCACCGTTTAGAGGGGCTCTGGAAGAGGAGGGAGAGGGGTGGGATAGAGAGGGGGGGGGAGGAGCAAGCGGAAAGAAGGGATTGGGCACGTGGGGATGACAGAGAGTGCTGCTGCTATCTCTGCGCCGCATGCCACCCACACCAGACCAGCAGCACTGTTTAGAGGGGCTCTGGAAGAGGAGGGGGAGGGGTGGGATAGAGAGGGGGGGGGGGGAGGAAATAGAGCAGTTATGGTGAGCTCGGAGAGGTGGGGCAGAGTGTGAGAGTATCGTACGCCCAGCGCCAGCGTCCCTGAAGCGGGGCGTACTGGGAGAGCCTATCACACCGCAGCCAGGCCGCTATCACTGCGCATAATGGTACAAACACTCTGACCAGCATAAAGAGGTGGGGGGAACGAGGTGTTGAGAGAGAGAGCTGCAGCTATCACTGAGCCCCATGCCACACCTTGCTTAACACTTAAACATACCCACCTTCAGCAGCTTGGGCTTGGGCATCCCACGCGTTCGACGGACCGGTATGTCTACCGTCGATGGGCTTTCTGGCGCCACGCCTGGATCGAGGCCCACTGCAGATGGGCCGCTCGACAGAGAAGCAATACGAGGAGGCCTAGACGGAGGGGTGCAGGGTTTGACAGGTCCTTTGGCTCCTGGCCTTGCCTTGAGTGCCGCAATTTCGCGATCCCGCTGGGCAAGCTCCCAAATGAGCTGCTCCACCGTCTTGCCGCCAGCCACATTGGGCCGACTGGATGCGCCAGGTGTGCCCATGCTCTCGCCCCTCCCCTCCTTAGTCGCCGGATCCATTTTCAAGTCTCATCCTTCTCCCCTGCTATCCCGTACATCCCACATGGAGCCTTCCACACCGCCGCCACATTCACCCAAGGAATTCGCCCACACACCTCCTCCCACACCGTCATTGGCTGCTGCGGCGGCCGAGGGTTCGTGCCGCTTCGTTGCTCCCTCGATTTTCACCTGAACCGCGTGACCCCCCGAAAGCTTTGCATGCGGGTCCGTCGCTTCCCTGCCAAACCGCGCTGACCCCCAAGCGATCGGATCTCCCTTCCCAGACGAATCCATCTGCTCGCGTAACGCAGCATACGTGTCGGTGGCTTTCCGATCATGAGGGCTTGATGGACATCGTTGCCCCATGGACTCGTAAAAATCCAACTCCCGCTTCTCCTTGCTACGCACACCCACAATTTTAGCTTCGAATCGAGGTCTCTGGCGCTTGCCATGTGGTTTGGCACGACCCACACTGTGCTTATAGCTCTTCACCCGTCCTGTCTCCGGTTTTCGCTTTCCATTGCCCTTCTTGGTCTTCCGCACACCCCTCCTCTTCAAAGGCCGAGCCTCCTCCTCATCCTCGCTCTCCGGCTCCAACTCCTCATCCTCCTCTTCCTCTTCCTCCTCCTCCTCGTCCTCGTATACTTCCTCACTCCCGGATGAGCTGCCTGACTCACTGTCACTGGATCCCTCCTCCGAACCCGACGAGCTCGAAACATACTGTTTCGTCCCTTGTCGAGCTTGTCTCGCATTTCGGTCGCGACCGGCCGAGTCCACAGCATTGCGTCGTTTGTACGGAATCACAGCTTCACGTCCATGTTCTTTCCCAGCAGTCACTACTGCAGGCTTGTCCTCATCCTGATCGATACCGCCACCACCTCGCTGCTCTGCTAGCCCTGCAGCGAGAGGGATATGAGAGAGACAATCTCGGTGTCACGTCACTCACGACATAATTGCTGGTGCAACAGGTAACAATATACAAGGAGGGTGGCAGCGAAGGCTATGCAACCTCAAAATCAACGACAGAAGTAGCCAGGAACCGCCAACCTTCTATAACGGGCCTGGGCAGCGCCTGCTCGTCGCCACCAGCCACATCCAGCGAGAGCCTCCCCGAGGGACTGCCCTTGGCCCCCGCCGCTGCCTTCTCGTTGTTGCGCTTTCCACCACCACGCCCTTCAAGCTCGCCATGTTCCTGCTCGTCGCCACCAGCCACCTCCTGCGAGAGCCTCCCCGAGGGACTGCCCTTTGCCGCCGCCGCCTTCGCGTTGTTTCGCTTTCCACCACTACGCCCTTCAAGCTCGCCATGTTCCTGCTCGTTGCCACCAGCCACGTCCTCCGAGAGCCTCCCCGAGGGACTGCCCTTGGCCGCCGCCGCTGCCTTCTCGTTATTGCGCTTTCCACCACCACGCCCTTCAAGCTCGCCATGTTCCTGCTCGTCGCCACCAGCCACCTCCTGCGAGAGCCTCCCCGAGGGACTGCCCTTTGCCGCCGCCGCCTTCACGTTGTTGCGCTTTCCACCACCACGCCCTTCAAGCTCACCATGTTCCTGCTCGTCGCCACGCGCAGACATTCCTAGGCGGCCAGATGGACTGCCATGATACTCCGCAGCCCTCCCGCTACGGTCATAACATCTACCGCGTTGTCCTGCACGCCTGCCTGCTGACGGAGCTGCGAGGGCGGACATCACAAGAACATTAGCAGTCCAGTGCGCGCTAACCTTAATTGCACGAAGTGGCATCAGTATGATCAGTCGATGCAGGGAGTAACGTGCTACTTAGGAACCGGCGATATTACACAAACACGCACCTTCTTTGACGGGTCCGCCGTCCTCGACCTCTTCGTCGCCTTCATACGCAGCATGGGAAGTAGTGCCTCTCTTTTGTTGACGGCGCTTACGCCCCTTTCGGTTGTCACGCTTGTCCTCTGACAATGTTACGGGGGAGCACAATCGGAGCTTCAGTAACGGGAACAAGTCAAACAGGACGGCAAACCGCACTTACTGGACCGGTCGGAGGTAATTAATCATGCAAGTCTACCTTTCAGCAGATGGTACCAAAGTCACGTACCTTTCTGGCCGGCTTTGGGACCGATGTCATCTAAGCGCCTCACACGCCTCTCCTTTGGTTTTGGAGGGGAGGACACGCCCTTGTTAGCGTATGCCCCAACATTGCCGTCGCTATTTGATTCGTCACCAGATGAAGAGTCCCGTCCTGACTCAACGTCATCACGCGCCGACGACGCATTGTACTTGCGATACTCGTTAACGATCTCGGCCGTTTTATCTACTGTAACTAACTCCATATAAATTTTTTCCTCCGGCAATTTCGACGAGTCTGCCAAAACGATCGCCCCATCGGGCCCCTTAATCGTCTGACTATCCATTGCAATGTCTAGGTTTCCATTCACGCAGTAGTCTGAGGTGTGTGTTAGTTATGACGTTGCAACCTGACGGCTACGCTTCGCGCACTAAAAAATTGTTGAGCATAGAAGGGACGAGGATCAGACAGGGGCCTGGAGCAGATGAGCGTCCCACAAGCAGGCACGCAAGAGGAGCACGGAGGTGACGAGGGTTTGAGTGTTTCCTGCTCTGTTCCACCTTGCGACATCCAGGTCCCTCGTTTCCCCAAACAACCAATCACACGGTGGTTAACGTGCACCCATAAAAAAATTGAGGCTCCAATGGGGCATGATTAAGTGGGAGTGGGCGTTTATCCGTCCAGTAGCGGCAGGGAGCGATACAAAATGTTGCTAGTGCTTAAACGTGCGCTAGTGTATTAGGGCTCACGAAAGATATCTATTCTGCCCGCACAGACTTTATGTGGCTAATTTTCATAGTCTTCCACGCGTGCCTCACGAAGCTTGGCGCAGGCGTCACGTCAATAGTAAAATCGCCACTTCGGAGAAACGGGGACGAACCATTGGCGCAATTCGTACAGCGATGCGACAGTCTGATACGAAGCCGTTATGGAACACCTGCGATAAGAACGCATGCTCGGGAGTTAGTTGTGAGTGGTGGCGATTGGGTCGCAAGTCGGAGAGAACAACGTTCGTGGCAATGAACTGAGGTACGTGGTATGGCGCACGGGGGGCACAAAATGACACATTTATTTGCAAGGCTGCAATACAGTGTTGAAAGAACATATAAATCATTACTACCAAAGGAATGTTGAGCTGTCCAATACCGTACGTTTACTCACAAGTATGAGCACCGACAGTGCATAACCAGACACATCCTTCACGGACCAACTGTCAAATTGTTTAAGGAGAGCAGTGACCCTGTTACCTTGATTGTTGTTTAAATATGGTCTAGGTTAATAATATATTGGTGTCGCAACAAGGTAGCTACTGGTATATCATTTGTGGTGCAACATTACCAGTGCCATACACAAATAGTTGGGCTGAAAAGCCCTTAGGATCTTTGCAGGGGTGAACTCTGGGTAGACTTGGTGTAGTAGCGGAAGCGTTAATTAAAGTGTTGTGAACCACCTTGCGCTTGTATGTGAGGGCAAAGTAAATTGATTAAAGCAAAGAGATACAAGATTATATAAGAGTACAAGGAATACGAAGAGATACGGTTGCAACTACTTTACTGTTGCTGTTGTGGTCGATACAGTGACGACTCGGGCAGCTGCTCTGCAGCGAGTCAGTTGTGTGTCCTTGCTGTCGCGCTGTACTTGTCAGGTCAAAGGTCGCTGACCTTTGACCTGACCGTAACCTCCGACAGTTACTTCATCCTCCGACGGTTGACTCGCTGGTGCTTCGATACCGTAGTGTTTTGCTTCGTTTGTGTTTTGGTGTTTCGACACGACACAAGCGCTTAGGACCGATTGTTTCCAACACAAACTCCCATCATGGGGCGTCTCTGCACTGTTGTCCTGTAGGGCAGCTATAGTGCATAAATAAATTGCTTGATGAGTTGTATGTTCTTATTTCATGCTTGACAGGAGGTGACAAACACTTGCTGTTTGGTCACGTGAGTGATGGGGACAGTTTCGAAGCCTCACCCACGCGTTCTGTGACTTGCTTGTTGGCTTGTCACGATGGACTGGACGGTGGGACAAACAGATCCTCCTTATAGGTCTTGTTTGACAACATAGGCCCAATAAGTTCACCCTATGCTGAGACCTGCTACCCGCCTCATCCCCTCCTGCTCCCTGCTACCTGCCTATGCCTCATTCCCCCTTGCTACCAGCCTCATTCCCCCTTGCTACCTGCCTCGTTCCCCCTTGCTACCTGCCTCATTACCCCTTGCTATCCACCTCATGCCCCCTTGCTACCCTGCTCATTCCCCCTTGCTACTTGCCTCGTTCCCCCTTGCTACCTGCCTCATTCCCCCATGCTACCAAACTCATTCCCGATTGCTACCCGCCTCATTCCCCCATGCTACATGCCTCATTCCCCCATGATACCCGCCTCAATCTCCCTTCCTACCCGCCTCAATCCCCACTTCATACCCACCCCATTCTCCCTTGCTAACCACCTCATTCTCACATGCTACCCGCCTCATTCCCCCATGCTACCCGCCCCATTCCCCCTTGCTACCCGCCTCATTCCCCCTTGCTACCTGCCTCATTCCCCCATGCTTCCCGCCCCATTCCCCCTTGCTACCCGCCTCAATCTCCCTTGCTACCCGCCTCATTCCCCCTTGCTACCTGCCTCATTCCCCCATGCTTCCCGCCTCATTCCCCCTTGCTACCCGCCCCATTCCCCCTTGCTACCCGCCTCAATCTCCCTTGCTACCCGTCTCAATCCCCACTTCATACCCGCCTCACTCCCCCTTTGCTATCAGCCTCATCCCCCTTCGCTCACCCTGTCATTCTCATTCCAGTCGCGTTCCACCAAGCTCCCCGCCCCATTACCAGCTTAGACCCGCCTCATGCCCCACCTCTAACCTCCACCATCGTCTTTCCCCGAAAAAACACAGACCACTTCCTCAAATCGCGACGGTACTGACGGCGCCATTTGAGTGGCGTACCGACAAGCTCACACGCAGGGAGGTTACGGAAACCATCCTCGACCAATGTGTGCATCACACGCATCGCGAACACACCACAGTCGTTCTCATTGTCCTGCATTGGAATCTGAAGACACACAGGGTCAATTACGGCAGTGTAAGGCCCGTCCGAAATTGGGGGTTGGTGGAGGAAATCGCGTTGCGAGAAAAAGAGATGCATGGGCTCGGAGCTCGTACAAACAAGGCAATTTCGCTCACCTTGACGTGCCGTAGCGGGATGCTCGCAGCCCATGCATCAGCGTCCGAATCAATGATCCACGAACAGCATTTTACGACCTCGTTTCGTAAATACCTGCATATCGGATGATGGTTCTTCAATTATTTAGTTACCCCGTTTTGAGTTACGAGACAACAGCATACTGCCATTTGAGAGCGAATACCTGCGCAACGGAGCGTCAACACCGTCATGGGTACCGTTCGAGTCAGCGTGCCATAGCACGCAGTTCATGGGAATCGGGTCGTCGGGTCTCGGGATTCTCTCGATGACGATCCAGCTCCAATGACTCCTAATGCGCAAACGAGGACTAGCATCATTAAAAACGACATTATCATTGCGAATTATTTCTGGTGCAACGGCACGACGCGGCGAGAACTTACTCGGTATTAATCGGAACTAGAACGTGTGTGAATTCGAATATTCCCAATCCGAAAGTGTAGGCGTTTTCAGGCCTCGGTGTGTCCTTCCGAGCGTAGTCCCAGAAATAGGATCCAGCGTAAAGCCACTTTGTGCGGTTGAGACTGTGTTCGTACTGCAGCATCCTGCGAGTGCGCAGATTAACGCCAAAATAAAAGCATGAGAGAACCGTGTCGTCACTGTGTAATGAGTCTATATTCGTGATACTCACATACCGAGCCAATCAATCACGATTCCGCTAACCCATTCACCGGGTCGTAGCCTATTGGCGTGGTCTACGGTTATGTCGAGCCAGCCTCCGCCGTAGGGAAAGGGCATGGAGATCGGCTGAAAGGCTAGTTTACTATCTAAGCTTGGAAGAGCCATGGCTGAATGTTCCTGACTTCGAGTTGCGAGTGGCACTGGGGAAATTATGAGGAAGCAGCACCACTTCTAACTCTGTGCTTTGGAGCCACGTTACTATGGGTCACGAGTTGCTTTGCAGGTTGGTGCCACATTCGTTAATTTTCGCTACTCGTACCCTAACCTACCTGAACCTGGAACATGTCTCAATCGCATGGACGACATTCGCCAGAGGGCCCCACTTGTCGGGGCTCTTTGGCAATGGGGTCTGGTTCCCCATCTGCTGACATCACAGATACATCCCCCTTAACAGGGGGAGAGCCAATCAAAACATCGGAACGACGAGGTGGAACACCTTCTCGGGGCTAGCGATTCCACGCGTCAGACTCTCACCAGTAACTTGGTGGCTGTTGTGAATGTGTCCTTTTTCCCCGATTTGGGCACGCGCCATCCCTAATAATGTTACGGCGCGCAGAGGTCCGTCCACTCCACACATCCACTCTCCCATCTTCAGGGCGCAGTAGTGGATGCCCGTTAGATGAAATCTAACGGTGAAGACAGGATGAATCCTCCAGCTGTT